TGTATCGGGATTAACATTTCTGGATTAGAGGAAGTTATGTCCTTTAAATCGGTGTATCTTTCATTGAAATCGAGCGAACGGTGCCTTCAAAAAAGGGATTGCAAAATTTTCTTGTGGCGTATTTACATATAGAATATGAACATCCGAAAACATTAAAACGTTGGAAATAAATCTCGTCTCACTTTTTTGTATTTTTCTAATGAAGAATTGAAAATCCATAAGGGAAAATTATATTTTTTGTAAGTTTTGTCTTACCCCTCTATTCTAACAGAGNATGGCTGTTGAATTAATGAAGAATTGAAAATCCATAAGCGAAAATTATATTTTTTGTAAGTTTTGTCTTACCCCTCTATTCTAACAGAGTCACAAAACTTANATATGAACATCCGAAAACATTAAAACGTTGGAAATAAATCTCGTCTCACTTTTTTGTATTTTTCACATGGCTGTTGAATTAATGAAGAATTGAAAATCCATAAGCGAAAATTATATTTTTTGTAAGTTTTGTCTTACCCCTCTATTCTAACAGAGTCACAAAACTTAGCTCATCACTGTTGTGATTTCAAGTGCGCCGAGAAATGTGTCACACAAAATTCGATTTTGAGTGCTAGAAAAATACACAATAATTTAAAAAATTGAATTGAAACGGCATATTTTTTGAGCGGCAAGCTTTGAGGCGCGGTAGAAATCACAGCAGTGATGAGCTGAAGTTTGTGACTTTGTTAGAATACGGCTGTTAATATCTTAAAAACTTGTAAATTTATTGAAAAATGATAAAAGAACGTAAGGCACTGAATTTAATATCCCTTGATTTGATATATCGTCCTGATTATTACAATTAACGCATTCCATAGATATTACAAGCCAAAGTTTCATTTTCAAAATTCATACACTTTGATTCAATTGGGCGGGCTAAAGATACATTTTTAATTATACTTTCGTGGCCAATAACAATTGGCTTAGACCTTAGACATCATAATATTACTATTACAATACGGTCAAATGCTTTTTATTTTCCCCATACAAAATCGACCCAGCCTATTGCTCATTCTTTGTTGCTTTAAGGCCCTGCCTTATTCATAAAAAATAAAGTAGCTTTAAAAAAGGTTTAAAACTGGGTTATGAAAGACTCAGACTTGACTTGACTTACCTAGAAACTTTTCTTTTTCGTTTGAAGATCAGCACTTGTATTTGTACGCCTAANCAGACATCATAATATTACTATTTCAATACGGTCAAATGCTTTTTATTTTCCCCATACAAAATCGACCCAGCCTATTGCTCATTCTTTGTTGCTTTAAGGCCCTGCCTTATTCATAAAAAATAAAGTAGCTTTAAAAAAGGTTTAAAACTGGGTTATGAAAGACTCAGACTTGACTTGACTTACCTAGAAACTTTTCTTTTTCGTTTGAAGATCAGCACTTGTATTTGTACGCCTAAATTGCAAACGTTTAATTTGTATTTACACCGAAATGGATACAAAATTACCAGTAAAATAAATGTATTTATGCGTATCAAATTGTGATTGTTATACCTTTCATGAGCATGAAATGGTATTATAACTTTGGTCCGATGTTTGTAAGTACCAGAACAAAAAGAGATAGACCCATGAAAATGTATACTTATATGATCAGAACGTCGAGCTGAGTTGATTTAGCCATGTCCGTCTGTCCAATTAAAAGTAAACTATAATTTTTTACTGTGTACAAATTCCATTCAACTTAACGTATGGTTTATAAAAGGATGTTATTAAGCTCTGCTAATGCAGATAAGCTATCTTTCAACACATGGTTTAGTCATAAGGAGTGTACTCGTACGCAAAACTATCAAAATTTTTAGAAAACGTTTACTGGTTTTGCGTTCTCGTACCCAAAAAACTTGCAAAGTAGGGGAAATTGAGAGAGCAAAATGTGATAGAGAGCTGCAAATCTCTGCTGGAAAATTTTTCCCAGCGAAAACTTGCAAGTAAGAAAATCAGTTAATCACAAACATATGTTTGTAAATAAACAAAAGAAAATGTGATCTTTTTGAATTATTTATGGCAAATTTTATTACTAGTATACAACGAAAAAGAGAGCCAAGTTATTAAGCACAAGGTTTGTTGAGTTTATTTTTAGTTCATTTACTATTAATCTCCATTTGTTTATTTTAGTGAGTTCTGACTATGGTTGCCATCATTTTTCGTTTATACTATAATTGTCCTTTAAATATACCAAAATATTTCAAAATGCAGCAAGCTGAAATTTTGTTGGCCGAATTTGTCAGTTTTGGTAGGTTGATTGTTGAAATCAGAATTTTATAATTTTAGCAGGTCTATTCTGCACGTTACCGAAGATTTTGTGACCGGAAAATTTTATTACCAAAAAATTTTACCACTTCTTGTCCCCGCGATTCTAGGTACCTTGGTAATGCAGTGAAAATATTCAGCAATTCAGCTATGAAGATTTGTGGAAATTCCTGTATTGCATATTTCACGGGGCAATATTTTGTTACCAGCTTATGAGATGAGATAAATTTACAGGTTTAAAAATTGACAAACGCTTTAATTACCGGTTACAAAATTTATGTTACCAGCGCAGAATAGACCTGTAAATGTACATTTGTAAGATATTCTCTCTTTTTGAGGAAAAAATATTTCATTTATTCCGATAGACTTTATTTGTATTTTAAAAAGGGTTTTCGATTCCAAACGTATGCAATAGTATACAATGCAAAATCGGGGGAAAAATATACTAAGCAGAAAATAAATTGCCCACCAGTGGCAACTGTGGAAGTGATCAGCTGTTTCGAAGGCTGCAAGTTTTTGCAAATTTTGCGTTCGTACTTCTGTGAATATTTTGTCTCTTTTAGAACGAATGCTGCTAAATTCTCAGAATGTTTTCTGCTGGATAATTTTGTCCTCTCAATATGATTAAGCATCTATAGTCAGTGTTGCCAAATTTTGAATTTGTAAAAGCACTAAAACCCGAGAAAAATCACGTTTTTTTCTCGAAAAAAGCACCAAATTTTTATCGGAGTATTGAATGGACTTTACATCATACCATTATTTTGTAGGGATGCTGATTTAAATTAATAAAAATCAATGTTTCTTGCTCGACGGTCCAATTTTTTCTGTTTTCTATAAATTCAAACATTTTCGTTCAAGCGACGATAACATTCTTCTTCTTATTTTTTAATTTATAGCTGTGTCCAGCTACCGCTTCGCTTAGATTCAAGGAAAATTTATAATTTTTTTTTCTAACTGTTTACATGTTAAATTTTCCTTCGTATTGCATAATTTTTTCTACATTTCCTGTCAACCGAAAGCAAAAACAAAAATTTATGTTTCATGAACTATGTGGTAGTTAAAATCTACACTGCAGTCTCTTATGATCTCGTGAACTAAAGGAACAAAAAGAACTTTTCTTTCCGACTGCTTGACACCTGAAACATAAAGAAACTTGATTTCCATTTTTAATGTGCCTTATTTGAGCGCATAGTGGGAAACATTTTTTGTGTGTCAAAAATTTGTTGGCAAACATATGCTCGCTTACGATTGTCATTGTGTCATGATTTTTGTAAAGTTGCTAAAATATTTACGATTGCTATTAATTTAGCTTCGATTTTTTTTAAGATTTACAGATTTGGTGTCTTCAAAGTAAAAAAAGCACCAAAAAACGCCAGGCACCAAACTCAAAAATGTTCGCGTTTTTAATAAATAAAGGTACTAAATTTAATGCGAAAAGCACCAAGTTGGCAACAGTACCTATAGTTACCAAATCTTAGTTGAGGCAACCACGATTTGTGAGCCACCCCTAAATAATGCTGAGCGCTCTCTGAGCACATGTGTGTTTCACATACGAAGAGCGCCAGCTGAGCAATGCACGCAGTCACACTTATTGAATCATTTGAATTGAAATTAAATTTGACCAGTGATGGGACTTCTTCCACATTGTGGTAAATCACCACTTTTTTGAGCATCTACTACATCTACCACACAAGGTCTGAAATCTACCACATATTCGCGTTTTTGAGTAGCTTTATTTTTGCTCGACATAAACAGGCAGAATGGTTGGATAAAATAAACTGTAAAATAGTAAATTTTCTCAATATTCAATTTTTAGATAGGAAACGTGGTTTTATTGTGTTAAATTGCACAATATATGATTTATAATAAGAATTAATAACGAAAATGTTAAACAACGGCGATTTTTGCGAAAGTATTAGCAAATTTCAGTGCATCTAAAGTTTCCAAAGCGTTGTTTACTTTTACTTGAGAATTGTCAAAATCGGCAAATCCCAAGTAGCGGTTTCTGGAACGGGCCACATTTGTTCGCTACATCGTGATGTGATAAAAAGAAAAGCTGGCAGCACTCCCCAAGGTTGCAGAAAGAGGAAGGAGCTGCTTTACACTGTCAAGGAAAAAAATTGCCAAAACTTAACGCAATTTTTAGCAACTTCAATCTTGCACTTTGTTATACTAAAATTAAATTTTTTAGATTCTAACTAAAATGTTTGCAATCTAGGTAAAACCTTGCAGAATTTTTTTAATTTTTGTACAAAGTTTGATCCAAAACCTAAGATCTGCCATATTTTTTGAAATCTACCATTTTTTCCAGATTCTATCACACATTTTTTTGGAGTCCGATCACTGGTGCCGACTATTGCATAAAAACGATTCAATGAATGAGACTGTGTGCGTGGAAATCATTGCTCCGCTACTGCTGTTCGTAGATGGGTGAAACACGCATTTGGTCACAGAGCGCTCAGCAGTGTTGCCAGCTTTTGATTTTCAGAAAGCACCAAAAACTTTGAAAAAAAGCGTTTTACCAAACTAAAAGCACCAAATTTTTAAAGGATGCTTTTTTCGTAACAGTTTGTATTTAACAAAAGCAAAAAGCTAACAATATTTACAAGAATACATCCATAGATCAATACACAAAACGTTTTCGTTTCATAACGAATGAATAGCCTCTGCACATGCTATGATGACTCATGCTTACGACGTAATACCGAAGTACTTTTAAAACTAGTATATCTCGAGAAAGAAAAATCAAATCGCAACAAACGAAAATATTGCTCTAAGTAGAAATGAGCAAAAAATGTTATGTTTTCATCATATAACCTCAAATATCGCAAAAAACCGTGTTTATGGCAATCTGGGGGTAGGATATCTAAAAATTCTAGTACTAGAGCAATTGTGCGGCCAGATTTGGATTCAGCACCAAGAAACGATGTGTTTTACTCAGGTGGTAAATATTTCAAAATTTGTACAAATAATTAGAAAAGAAAAAAAGAAATTCTTAACTTACCTGCATACTAGCATTTTCAACGCGAATAGAATTCAACAAGGTGGGTTTGCAACTTCAGCTTTTTATCAATCATGGTTGTATTTTAGTGCATTTATGTTTGTATATTTTTGTAAATTCCTTGGCACTAAATCTAGTGCTTAAAGCACCAAGTTGGCAACTATGGCGCTCATTAAGCTATGGCGTGTCGATCATTGCGCTAGGTAGAGAAAGAAAAGTGTGTTCTATGACATGCCCAGACCTGTTTGTCTCAGTTTCAGTCTTGCTATCGTCGCGAGTTGTTTCGATGCGCGCATAGTTATTTAAAAATATAAAGTTTGATGCAAACCGGGGTTTCTCAGTGTATATATAATTCATGTGAGTTATAATTTGAAAGTGCCTATTGAGCCAAGGAAAAAGCAAAGCAGTATACTTAAACTAGCAGATATTGACCTGGGTTTTCGAACGACTGTTCCTGTTTCATCGTTTCTTTTTATGAAATTCTTACCACCATATACATATTACATATATTATTTACATTAGTAACTATTTATGTAAATATGTATTTATTTTTTATGTTTAATATTTGCAAATAAAAAAGAAAGTAAACACAACAACCATCGAGAAAATTTTCATTTGAGTCAAACTGAAAGACTGACTTCCAAAACGTACCAATACAATGTTTGGATACTGTTCTACTGCGGTATTTAGACTATTTGCATATGCAGAGTTGTCAAACATTGCAACCACATACATTGCATATTTTGAATATTCAATATAACAATGAATACCCTTTCGTAATTTTCCATTTTAACAACGCCAATCGAAACTAAAAACAAACGAAGCATCAACTTTGTTTCTGATGTGCTGATTACTCTAACAATGTGTTTCGATAACTTTTCTGATTCGTTTTGGAAAAGTATATATTGTCAAGCATTTGTAGTACGGCGTTATGGAACATTATACTTTGTACGTATGCAATGCAATTGACGTTTTGGAAGTCAGCCAAACTTTTTTTCCAATAATAAACGGCTAGCTGATTCAAGTCTACAGCAAATTCACAAAATTAATTGAAAACTTTTATCAAACAAAACATTGTTTATATTTGCTCAACTAACAATATTGTCCAATCAAGGTAGTCGTTTTATAATTAGTAACAAATATACATATATTTGTCCCAACTAGAAGTCTCAAGTAAATTGCAGACTTTCGTGAACTAGAGATGTATTTTGCCATATCCAACTATGCCACTTGGTCACTATAATCAAATCTTGGTAATTCTAACTAAACCTTTTTCTGGGTGTAGTATGTATTGATATGCATATGTTCATATGTTCGTATACCTAACGATTTAAAAATTTTAGTTTTCTGTTGATTCCGCTACATTTGCTTTCGTGCAAAGGAACTTAATGTCTTATATAGCACGTACATGTGTCAGATATCTATGTGGGCGATAAGTGCTGCAATTGTATTTTATATTTACACAATAGTATTCATACACATCACGACATCAGGCATATATAAAATTAAATATGTATATTTACCTCTGAACAAAGATAACGTTTTTGCCAAAATTTTGTATAAAAAGTTCCCCCAGGAAACTCCGAGCAAAAAAATGGAAGCATACATATACATATGTATATGGAAAACTCCATTTCAACCGAACTATGACTGATCAAAAATTAGTAGGTATCTACAATTTTTTTTTTGTTTTATTGACATGGAATTTTCTATATATGTATGAACGTACATATGGGTGATTCCACCGTCACGGGTTGGACATTTGTACAGAATTTTTTTTTTTCTTCTTTAAGTTTAATTATAAAGTACTCAAAAATTCTACATTTGGATAAAGCTACACCTAATTGACTTTTATATGAGTTATTGCAAAATACGCAAAAAATTCCAGCTTACTTTTATATGGAAAAAATCTGATTTATTTCTTCTGTCACGGGTGGGACAAAAAATGAACCTGCTTTTTGCAGAAGATATATTTTACGGAAACTGCGAATTTATTTCACTTTTCTGTGGAACTTGATGTCTGCCGCTACTAAGCAATATATGTATAAATGATGCAAGCGTGTTTCGCGTAACTACATCCATTCGTACATATGTACATATGTTTGTATGGATATATTTATGATGAAGCAAACGGGCTTCGTTGATGTACTGATGGGCATATGTATGTACTTATGGACAGCAATGTTTTCATGTATGTACATATGTTTGAATGGTTTTATATATATTTGTACGTATGTGCATAAGTTTGTGTATGTACATGTGTTTGTGTGTATGTTTATATGCACATATGTACTACAAACGAAAACAAATCTAATAAGCTGCTCTTGATATAAATGCGAACTGTACTGATTGTCAAAAATTATGTGTTTGTTGTACATTTGTTCATGTTTGTCATTGTGCGTGTAATTTTCTAGAGCAGTTTTGTGCTCTCGCTATCTCCTTGTATTAACTCGTCCTTCGTTGGTATACTCTGATGAACATATGTGAGGATGATAGCAAGGCCAACTTATATAAGGTAGTGTTACAGGAGCAGTTGAAATTTTCGCCCGATGTTTCTTAAAGAAAGCCATAAACGTAGCGACCGTTGGTTCAACTTGGTGTTATTTTGCTCTAGATTGCATCGTTTGTGGGCCTGTTGAATGAATTTATGTCTTGGTTGTATGACAGATAAAAA